CCCTTTTTAAGTCATCAGTGATCTATTAAGTTATCAGTTACCTTTTAAGAAATCAATATATTTGGAGTATTATTCAACTTGGATATTAAGTGAATTATTGGAGCTTGGATTTTAAAATAAATTATTCTCGTGGATTTTATTGTGGGAATTTATTCTAAAGTGTTCTTGGATTTAACTTGGATTTAACTGTGCTATTAAAAAGGATCATTCCAGGATCAGACTAGACATTTGTAATTTTCATTTTCATTTGGACTTCAGGTATTTGTTAACATAATTTGTTATTTTATTTTTCTTTAATAATTTTTCTGTAATAAATTTGTTATTGTTACAAGTTTGTTGCTGGCTTTTCTTTCTCGTTACGCCTGGCTCGTAACAATATGAAGTGTACAGCACAAAAAGTCGAACTGCGGATGCAACTTAATTCAACCGGTGGCCCATGGCCAGTATAATTTAGTTTCTGTTTTTCTCTATTTAAGAGATCAGAAGAATATGTTTATCTATGTCTACATGCAATCAGGAATTTTATGTTACATGGCAAAATTATTCAACATTTTTAGGCATAAAGCTGAAAGCAAAATGCAGATTAGTCAATGTCTGTCAACACAAAAAGGTGTCAAAGGTCAGATTAAAATATGAAAATGTATTCACAGGAAATTGAGAAGATTTTTTAAGAAGATTTTTTAGGTATTAAGGAATGTGAATATAATTTAGTGACAATAGCACATTCTTTTTAATTTTTATCATTTCAAATTTTGTGTTTTCACACCTTTTTGTACTTAATGCTTGGCCATGTTTTATTATTATAATAATACTCTATATTGTTTTATATCATAATTGAATTGGACGTGAGCCTTGTCATGATTTCACAGATTTGAAAAAAAAGATTTTATTGTCAGATTAAGCAATGATTTAATGATGCAGGCTTACTGTTTTAAGCATAAATGATCTTCAGCTATTGGTAAAAATAACCTTTAGTGATATAGCAATTTCCCTAACAGACAATAAATAGGAAATAATTTATAATTTGTCTTTTGAATCATGAATGCTGAAAGAGTAAGTTAATGCCTATAAATAACAAAAAAGCCAATGAATGGAAAATAAGCATAAACATCAGCTAGCTTTTATCAAACATTGAAAAAATTACCTCCTCCACCTCCAAACTGCAAAGGGACATTTCCATAATGTTATAATATTATAAAAGTAATGCCACCAATTCTGTTTGTTATTATTTTTTATTTTTTTTACAAATGTACGTATTTCAAGCAAAATAGTACAAGTAAATAAATTACCTCCATATGTGCAGCTCTTTCGTTCAGCCTTGCTGTCACTCTTTCCCTGTCTGACTGTGACAATCTTTCTGGTCTACCTGTGCCTCTGCCAGCACCTCCCCTTCCCCGCCCACTACATGTTCCTCTCCCTCTGCTCCTACCCCTGGCTCTTCCTCTCCTTCCACCCCTAAGAAATTCAAAGTAATTTTATTTGAGTTATTATGGTTATATCATATACAGGCTTAGCTAAGTGAATAAATGTGTATGCCAAATTATTATGGGTATATTGGCATGCCATCATAGAATTTTCTTGTAAACAAAGTTATTTCAAAGGTGTTTTATGTGTATTTTTCAGGCTTGGCAGCCAGCAGCAAATAAATAAAAAAAAGTAGGAAAAAACTAGAAATGAGTATTTCAGAAAACTAAAATAAATACCCATTCAACAGAATATCTATACCTGACTTGTCTATTCTCTTATTACAGTGACTGATATTTGTTTGTGTGTGTTGGACTTAAGATTGGAAAAAAGCTTAAATATAAAACTAAAACAAATAGTAATAATGGTGTTGTATACATAAACTAAGCAATAAAACAATGTTACCACACTATAATAGATAAGTTTTGGATAAATTATTGATACTCTAACCTAAAAGAAGGGGACCGTAAAAGAAGTATATGAATATGGAAGAACAGAAATTACTTGCCAAAATATCAAAATTCCATGTTTTGATTTCAAACTTTTATTGTTACACTGTCAACATTGTATCTCACAATATAAAATTCATGGGAAAACTTTCCATAATTAAGTGGTTAACTATTTAGATCTTATATCAATAAAACCTTAGGCTGCTGGCAGCCACTTAATAAATCCATGTGCAAACCAAGATGAAGTGGCAAATATGATGGTCTGCAGTGTTCACTTTAATTTTCATTTTTGAAATTTTCCCTAAAAATGTTAATGGTTCAGTCGAGATTGGATGACAAGTTCATTTAAGATATTCATTGTGCTAAGGAAATACCATTTATGTCAAACAGACAATTTATGGAAATATACATTTTAACAAAATTATATTGATAAACTCCTGACTAAATTGAAAGTAAAACTGGAAGAAAATAAGTAAATAAACATAGGAAATGAAACAACTCGATATTATCCAATTTTTTCAGATCTTATAATTGTGCTCTGCTGTGATACAAAGGGAGTGATTACAAAAGATATTGAAATTGTGCTATTATATTACAATCTCATTATCATAACATTTCCTTCATTTTACTACCTGACAAACATAAATGAGTGATAATGTTTATATGAATAGTCCCACCCACACTATTAATCTTGAGAATTTACATATTTATAATTTTCAAGCACAATTTGTCAATTAACTATCACTTCATAACTAGCTTAAGTGTTTTATATTGTAAGTTCAAATAGAAGCCAATTGCATTTCCCCCTTACATTAACTTTATTTGCCTCAAGCATACATGTTATAATTTCATCCAGGACCTGTTCATTTTTAAGTATATTTTCATACAAAATTTATCAGTTTTTAAGGGCATCTTAGAAATTTCACAAATTCCTGGACTCTAAGCACTTTATAAGACTGTTCAAACTCTGAAACTCTGATTGAGTAATATTCAGTGATAGTAAAAAAAACAAGAACTTGAAATACATGTATTACCTTGAAGATTGAAGTTCTTGGGTGTCTGCGCTTACCTGAAATAATAAAAAAAAACAGTCATTAGTTTTAATTCCTAATGAATATCTATATATCAATAAGGTTTATGTCAACCATCAGTTAGATTTGCTAACAAAAAATAATTTATAACATACTAGTATAATTAGTCAATTTTCAAAATTAAAAAAAAAATTATTAATATAATAAATGTTTTATATAATAAGTTGCAAGATAAGAGAAGACACTAAACACATATATTATTGCATGGTCTAGAACTATTCACTGTTGGGATGAAAGAATGTTAAAGCTTCCGGATAGCTCAATTTGTAAACTTCCAAACGGTTTTACAGTTACAAGCCCGAATATTACTCTCATCCTGAGACATTTAGCACCCACTGTCGGGCGGAGAGCTTTATGAAAATCGCTCTGTAACCCTAAGAAATATAAAGACAAATCTCAATAAAGCAGAAGAACATGTCACAGTCTTGATCTGTTCACTGGTTTGGTGTAAAATTTGTAAGTTGCTGGATAGCTCAGTTGGAAGAGCTGTGGAACTGTATTCTGTTCCAAGTCAGGCTGCACATTGTCACCATGTGGCAATTAATCACATTTATGTTTAATTACTGTACAATTGACATGTGAAATAATAAAAAAATACATAATTGAGCCGTGTCACGACAAAACCAACATAATGGGTTTGCGACCAGCATGGATCCAGACCAGCCTGTGCATCCGCGCAGTCTGATCAGGATCCATGCTGATCGCTTACAGACCCTATAACAAGTTAAGAAACTGATAGCAAACAGGATGGATCCTGATCAGACTGCGCGGATGTGCAGGCTGGTCTGGATCATTGCTGGTCACAAACCCATTATGTTGGCTTTGTTGTGACACGGCTCATATATGTATAATATCTATGATTGAAAAAATTTTACAAATTTTGTCCTCAGCATATTCTATTCTAGCATGCTTGCTTTAGAAGTTTTGATATTTAAGTACAAACACCTTTTCCACAAATAAACCATATATATGTTGATGTTAATATCTGTGTATTATTTCAATTTGTAATTCATTTCATTCAAATGATTTCCATCTTATTCATTTTTGTCCTGAATAGAATCTAGCAGAAATTGTTAAATTATTTTGGGATGTTATATATACATGTATACCGACAATAAATAAATTTTGATATATACATGAATTTTGATTTATTTGGGAAAATAGCATCGCAACTTCTTCGTGGAATTAAGTAAAAATTCTAACACAAAACAAAAAAAAACAAAGAACTCTGTTTAAATCATTGTTTTTATATACATAAAAACTCGCTGCTGTGCGTACTATATTTTTTCTAGTAAATATTATTATTCCCCACGGGACCCTCTTCATTTTAAATTACTCAATTTCCGCTATTATTTACATGGAGAATATCGAAATACTGCTAATCCTGGTCATATTTATTACTTAAATGGTTTGCAATCGTACTACAGGTCAGGTTAATCTTTAAAAAGAAAAATAAATGTAAAATTATGAAAATAACCTACTGTGCTTGATGAGCTGCTGTCTTCGGCATCCATGTTTGTTTTGGTCTATTTTAAGAATGGGTCACGTGACCGATCATGTGTTACTGATGACGTAGCTATGTGTTATATTTAGAAAAACTGAGCGAGCGTTGAAGTTTTTTCATCATTTAATTTTGTGTATTATTTACCAATTTTGATTTTTTTTTTCGTAAAATCATTGCATTTACCATCAAATGAAACATTTTTGATGTTTTCTGTAATTTTTTACATAACATACAGGATCTTTAAAGTTTATTAGTACATGCATACAAAATTATATTGGTCGCTAAGCTGGTTAAAATTTAATTATGTAAAAACGAACTAATAAACTTTAACCTATACCTAGTGTAAGTCCGTGCTGTTCTACATAAATTGGAACTTTCAACGGGAACTAGTACGCACTTAGTGTCAAGCTTTATTTGGCTTCTTTTATTTTCCCTGTTTTACTTCGAGACTATTTTGACGATCTCTGTTCTATGAAACGCTATTGAAAATAGGTTGCCATGAACGGAATTTGATATAGAATCTACTAGTTTTCGTCTATGCAGGTTTTACAAATACGGCATTTTCATGTAATAACACATATAGCTTGACTCTAAATACAAATGTAAGCACTGACAACTGAAGGGAGCAAAGCTGAATATAACACAAATAAACCGAGGTTTGTCAGACACGTCTTATATAATACTGCAGTAACTAACATTAGAAAACATTGAGTACCATGTTTTAAACTTTGAATTATTTAAGTTATAATTAAATGAACAAGAATAAGACAATATAAATGCTTAAACTACGACATTGAAACTCATTTTTAGTAATATGTAGCAAACAGATGTTTCTTTTTAAATTTGATGTCATGTTCAAGTGAAGATAACTCATAATGTTGCATACATAATACTATTGCCTTTTGTTATCACGTTATGCTGTATGCGAATATTTTAAATGCACATGTACTTGTGTGTATGCTTTATATGCTACAGGGACACATATGTCTTGGTTTCTAACAACACCATGAATATAAAATGAGCGTTTCATTTAGTGATTTAAACATATTGCTGACTATGTCTAGATGCTGATATTTAGAAAACATACACTACTTTTTCATCAGAATATAATGAATAATAGGCTGTTCATTCTTTACATGGCGACAAAGAATGTGAATGTCGTGATTGTCTATCCGCCATCCACCTGTGCCATTTTTTAAAAAGTTTTTTCCAGTTCTGAAAAAATATCGCAAACTTATGTTTTACTAATTTAATACTTTATCTGGTGACCCCTCATAGCGCCGATTTCTGGACGTTTCGATGACGACGTTATCGTATAGGTAAATGTTGTAACTTGGAACGTTGAATAAAAAATGCATTCCCAATTACTGTATAATCAAAAAATCTCCCATGACCTAATCCTTATATGCTGATTGTTTTTGTTGAACATCACTTAAAATGATAAGCCAAACTCAATTAAGCCTTAAACATTAATAACACACCGAGAATGAAAAATATATCAATAACATTTTTTATACAGAATATCAACATGTAGCACGATTCTATTAATGCAATATTTAAGTTCAACATTTTGTATGCCCCTAATATTGAATCATATTTAGCATTTAATAGGATTTTGAAAACAGGTTTATATGACAGAAAATGTCAAGGAAATATATATTTAATATGCTTATTTAAGTTAAAATAGAAAAGCTGTATGCTAAGCAGTCAGTTATCATTTTTGTTAGTTTTTTAATACAGAAAGCCCCCCCCCCCTATCTCCGACCTCTACAGCTAATATTACCACCCAGGTATCATACCCATACAAGTCAGTGGTCCGAGAACCATTACAGTCACACGCAGCACCTTGTAAGTGCCAGTACCTGCCATACATCATCAGACGCAGTTTTCCTATTTGCAAAAATGTGCCTTGGCCTTTTATCATGCTGATTATGTAGATAAACTTGCTTTGAACTTGAAATATTAGGAGGTTAAGAAGTATACTAATGAGTGTAATCAAAGTATTAGAATCGAACAGTGATTTATGTATTGTCTAGTCGGACTGAAAGCACGTACTGGCTTAACTTGCTTTACTCTAGTGGTATAGGCAGGTCATTATTGCTTCTAGCAGTTCAAAGTTAACATTTTAACGCATAAGCATATTGTGCAAAATTGCCGTTTTCATTGAAAAGCCTCTTGTTACAAGTTCAAAGTAAAATAAATACTATATATTTGTGTGTTTTTTATAATTTATGCATGTGTATCATACGTGTAAGCAGATAAACGATTAATATGAACACAATAATACAATTTCAATCATATTGGGCTGTGGTAACATCGTAAAATTTAAGACAGTCTGCCAAAATCATTGACTACTTGACCCAGATTATTATCTTGTTAAAATTTGAGCATATTTAAAATGAAGAATGGAAGTAACAATGTAATCTTACTATTACGTTTGAATGACCGTGACATACTCGAGCATGACTCGGATGACTGAGTTAAAGAAAATATCTTTGTTATTTTCAATGATTTTATCTTTCATTTTATCTTTGATCTCATGTATTCAAATCAACACTGATGTACTCTCATTTTTCAGTGACTAACGGCGAACGGGGAATCATTTGGGGAATCATTTATATATATCGAACACATTTTTAACTCCAATAAAATGATAGAAAGTGAGATAATCATATTTTGAAAATACGGTATGTGCAACGTGTGAAGATAATGTAGACACACCGTATATTTCATATCAATATAATCTAGTCTAATTAAATGCAAAGTTGGAGTTTTCTGCCGAATTCTCATTTAATTTACAAGCCTTGTTCTTAGAACCTCTTGCCGTACAATTAACACTCCTTTTATCATTTGTTTATGCCATTGGTAACTGAAAAAGACGCTACAAAAATGTTGAATTAAATATAGAGGACGAACGTAAGTTAAAATCATTTATCAAGACACAAGTATTTCTCAAACTTGGTCATGCGAACAGTCATTGATTAAAAGGCGATATCGTGTTGATAGATACAATTTATCTGTGTGTCTACAAGCAATAATAAGTGATTCTGTATCACCCACTCCCTAATTTAATGGCTGTCATCATGAATTGTATAATAACATTGAATAAAGTATTGTTGTTCTGACCAAAATTTCACAAGATGACTGGTTGGGTCAAGTACTGAATGATAATGAGAAGTTTAAGTTAAAGTTAAGTTGCTCACAATATATTTATATGTTCCTATTTATTGTTTATCTGTTTACATGTACTACAAACAAAAAATAATTAACTTGACCAAACGGTATTAAAATCAGTTTCAACGGATGCATTTTTTTATATTAAATGTAACTATATATAGTTAATGATAAAAGCATCGAGTTTGACACTTTTATTCTCAATAAATAGTCTTTTGATTAATATTGTGTCATCAATTTAGGCTTGCTATTAAGACTACAATTGCTAAATGTTTTACCTTTAAGGCTATGTTTGGTATATTATGGATAGAATATCGTATATAGATAAATGTTAAGGAGACATGTATGACATTTTCGAATGTCAATAAAACTTTTTAATTTAAAATATTTATAACTTAATTATCAACATCGAAAATGTATTTTGATACTCCAAAAAGATGTTTAAAATAGAGTTGAGAAAAAGGAAACAACACAAACAAATGTAATAATGTCATTTTACTTATTAAGTAATTAAAGAAAGAAATATTGTTATGTAAAAAAACAAACTTATCTAAAAAAAATAGCATAATGTTATTAACTTACTCTCTTACTACTATTCTATTAAAAAAGTCCATTATTCATTATGCCTATCTTTACAAACAACAGATAATAGTAAAATGTTTTAATTTACAAATAATGTTTTCAAGTAAATAATTATACATTTCGATTCAAAAATATTTATTTTATTTATCATGTTTTAGAAAAAAAGGAATTCTAATTTTAAATTTAAGATACATATTAAATTAATTCAAAGGCAATTTGCTGTTAACAATATATTTATTGGTTCAGAACATGTGCGTATAATATGCGTTTGTATATTTTTGATGCTAAGTTGATCTTGAAAAAAGAAATATGTTTAAGTTCAATAGCATATCATATGTATTTACAAAGCTATTCGTACTTTAGTAGCAATCAAAAGGTTTACAGGACTTTTGAAATGAACATTGCTTTTAAAATAGTTTAAAATAGAGAAAAACAGAAGCCCTAAAGAAAGCCAAACACGGCAAAATTGAAAATGGTGTAGGCTCGGTTTGATTGAGCCTGTTCATGGACGGTACTAGAAAGTGCAAGTTACCGTCCACGCCCCCTAGCACCGGCTTAACCAGAATTCAACATTTAACACGAACTGGTACAATTTGGAATTTTGAAACATCCGCAGATGTGTTCATATGACGGTTATCATGAAACCTTCAATGTGACACGTAAGTGCCATTCTATGAAAAGCGGCATATGGTCCCCAAGTAAAAAAATGAGTGTGCCCTAAACGAGAAAACAATGGGCGGAACTAAATAAAAGGGAATTTTGAAAGGGGTTATGAAGCCTGCATATCACAGATAAGACGTCAAAAGACAATTTAAAAAGCAGGCAGCATATCCTAAGGGTGATTATACAGTATTCAAGTAGGAATAGTGGAACCACCAAAGTTGAAAAAGGCCAAAATAGAAGAAACTTAAAATACCACATAACATGTATACACAACAATTATGTCGTGCTGAACGATCTTCAAGGATCGAAAATATAACATCTTTGATTAAATGTACGGGGAGACTTTTTACGGCCTTTTTACTTTTTACTTCATAAAGTCAATCCTCAAATTATCTCTAACATATTATTTATATGCTAGACATATCCGTAATTGTTTCCATCCATATTATGATCAAGATCATGATGTCGACTGATGTAGGCAAATAGATGAGACTTCATCAATGAAATGTGAAAAGGAGTGACCCGCTTAGAAATTGTTCATATTACTTTTAAAGAACTGAATATTTCTCATTAAGTTTCAGTTATTTCATCTTAAAGCTGAACATTTCAATAATATATCGATCCATGCTCGATGCTGATGATTGTTATTAATAATAATAATAATAATAGTAGTAGTAATAATAGTAGTAGTAGTAGTAGAAGTAGTAGTAGTAGTAGTAGTAGCAGTAGTAGGAGTAGTAGTAGTAGTAGTAGTAGTAGTAGTAGTAGTAGTAGTAGTAGTAGTAG